CCTGAACTCTGGGCCTGGGCACTGTCCCTCAGCTCTTCAGCTCAAGGCTAGCGCTCTACCACTTGAGCCACAGCGCCACTTCCAGCTTTTTTTCTTTTTGCTTATGTGGTGCTGAGGAATCGAACCCAGGACCTCAGGCATGCAAGGCAAGCGCTCTATCACTGAGCCACCTTCCCAGCCCCCAAAACTATATTTATTGTGTTAATCCTGGGGCCCAGGTACTGTACCTCAGCTTGTTTTGCTCAAGGCTAGTGCTCTACTACTTGAACCACAGCTCCACTTCTGGTTTTCTGGTGGTTAATTGGAGATAAGAGTTTCATAGGGCTAGGAAGGTGGCTCAGTGGTGAAGTGCTTGCCTTGAATGCATGAGACCCTGGGTTCGATTCCTCAGTACCACATAAACAGAAAAAGCCAGAGGTGGCACTGTGGCTCAAGTGGTAAAGCACTAGCCTTGAGTTGAAGAGCTAAGGGACAGTGCCCAGGCCCAGAGGGAAAAAAAAAAAAAAAAAAGTTTTATAGACTTTCCTGCCCAGGCTGGCTTTGAACTGTGATCCTCATATCTCAGCCTCCTCAGTAGCTCATTTTATTTTATATTATGCATAACGGATAACTGAAGCCAAATAATTAAGAAAGTCTGTGTTCTATTGTGAGACTGATACTTCCAAAACAAGTCTCACAACCTCCTTCCTATTTGTATGTGTCCTGACCCTTCTGACCACCCATTAGTGCAACATATATTCTGTACTATTCTTCTTTTTGCCAGTCTTGAGGTTTGAACTCAGGGCCTGGGCAATGTCCCTGAGCTTCTTTTGCTCAAGACTAGAACTCTACCATTTGAGCCACAGTGCCACTTATGGCTTTTTCTCTTTATGTGGTACTGAGGAATGGAACCCAGGGCTTCATGCATGCTAGGCAAGCACACTATCACTGAGCCATATTCCCAGCCTGGCCCTGAATTTATCATCCCAATCTCTGCCTCTTGAGTATCTGGGATGATAGGTTTGAGCTACTAAACTTACCCATATGTTTATTTATTTTTGTTTTGTTTAAATCCACAATGCTAGCTGGGGCAAGCTATATAGCCTATAATCCTAGCTAGGAGGATGAGATCTGAGGACCAAGGTTCAGGACCAGCCCAGGCAGGAAAGTCCATGAGACTCATCTCCAATTAACCACCAGAGAACTGGAAGAAGCGCTGTGGCTCAAAGTGTAGAGCACCAGCCTTGAGCTGAATTGCTGAGGCATAGCGCCCAAGCCCAGAGTTCAAGCCCCACGACCGGAAAAAAAAAAAAAAAAAAAGGGCTGACAGATAATGCCCAGGCCCAGAGGTTAAGCCCCATTACCAAAACACACACACACACACACACACACACACACACACACACACACACTTCATAATACTTAAATTGTCCTGGTATATTATTTCTTGTGAACATGGATTCACATTTATGTGACACCTGGATGAGGTTAACAGTATCATCCAAAGCTAAGAAATAAAACAAAGTTGAATGACTCCTAAGAGTCAACTATGACCTTGGCTTTCTCAGCTCAAGTTTTAGCCAGCAGAGCTAAAAATAGGAAGACTATCATTGCCACTTGATTATACTTAGGAACTGCTCTGAGAAATGGTGTTATGGGGAGACAAAGCAATTTATTAGAAATAGAAGTTCTTAGTAAGTCAGAACACGGTCTTCTCAGCCTCTAAGAGTAACAATAGAGCACAGATTTCTCATGCAACCAGAGCCTCAGGGAGAGGACAAAGGACATTTAAGACACATCCAGAAGCCATGACTAGTTTATTTTGGTCGGTCGTAAGGCCTGAACTCTGGTCCTGGGCACTGTCCCTCAGCTCTTCAGCTCAAGGCTAGCACTCTACCACCTGAGCCACAGCACCACTTTCTGCTTATGTGGTACTGAGGAATCAAAGCCAGGGCCTCATGCATGCTAGGCAAGCATTCTATCACTGAGCTACCTTCCCAGCCCAGCCATGACTAGTTTCTAACATTAGATAGCATTTCCACTGTCCCCTTATCCTCTAGTAGATAAGGATTTCAATAAAGTCCCAGGAGCTGGACACCAGTGGCTCATGCCTATAATCCTAGCTAATCAGGAGGCTGAGATCTGAGGATCATGGTTTGAAGCCAGCCTGGACAGAAAAGTCCCCAGAAGACTCTTATCCCCTATAAACTACTCAAAAAAGCCAGAAGTATGGGCTAGGAAGGTTGCTCAGTGGAAGAGTGCTTACCCTGCATGCATGAGGCCCTCAGCAGCACATAAGCAGAAAAAACAGGAAATGGCACTATGGCTCAAGTGGTAGAGCACTAGCCTTGAGCTGAAGGACAGTGCTCAGGCCTAGAGTTTAGGCCCCAGGACCAACAACAACAACAAAAAAAAGTCAGAAGTAGTGTTGTGGCTCAAGTTATAGAGTGCTAGCCTTGAGCACAAAGAGGCTCAGGGACAGCACCCAGCCCGAGTTTAAGCTCCAGGGCTGGCTAAAAAAAGGAAGTCTCAGGATAGAAAAGTTTGAGTTGGGACTCAGGGGAATTTGATTTAGTGACAAAGCAGAAAGTAACTTGGAAACAAATAAAACTTTTTCTAACATCAAGATCCTTCCTCACAGCCCCATTAAGGCTTTGTATCATCCATAGCAGCGAGGTCAATAACCCACTGGGATAATGAACCTGAGAAGTTCCAGAATCCAGAGCCAATTATGACATGCAGCAACTCTTTCTACCACACTACCATCACCCACCACACATACAAAAGCCGTGTGTGTGTGTGTGTGTGTGTGTGTGTGTGTGTGTGTGCGCACAGGCATTAGTCCTGGGGCTTGAAATAGGGTGCTGTCTCTGAGCATTTTTTTGCTCAAAGCTAGCACTCTGCCACTTGAGCCTTAGCTCTACTTTTGGCTTTTTGCTGGCTAACTGGAGATACGAGTCTCATGAATTTTCCTGCCTTGGAATCACAATCTTCAGATCTCACCCTCCTAAGAAGCGAGGATAACAGTGAGAGCTATCAGTGCTCAATGTTTTGTGTGTGTGTGTGTTTAAATATGACAGTACTAAAGGGGAGTCTTAATAAAAGCTGACAAACATTTATCTTCTGAAGACTTAGGCAGAGAGAATTTGTAAGCAAAGGTAGATTTAATCCCTCAAGTAGAGTGGCAGGTCAAATATTTGTCTTTAAAGAACAACGTTCCAAAAGGATTTTTTTTTTTTGGGTCCGGTTGTGGGGCCTGAACTCTGGGCCTTGGCGCTGTCCCTCAGCTCTTCAGCTCAAGGCTAGCACTCTACCACTTGAGCCACAGCACCACTTCCGGCTTTTTTCTTTTTGCTTATGTGGTGCTGAGGAATCGAACCCAGGGCCTCATGCATGCAAGGCAAGCGCTCTACCACTGAGCCACCTTCCCAGCCCCCTAAAAGGATTTTTTAAGTTGAAAACAAATGCAGATTATTTTTCCATTAAAAACTTGGAAACCACTGGCTCTTGCCTATAATCCTAAGCTACTCAGGGGGCTGAGATCTGGGGACCATGATTCAAAGTCAGCGTAGGCAGGTAAGTCTATGAGACTCTCATCTCCTATTAACCACCAGAAAACCAGAAGTGGTGCTGTGGCTCAAGTGGTAGAGCGCTAGCCTTGAGCTGAGGGACAGGACCCAGATCCAAAGTTCGACCCCCATTACCAAGAAAACAAAAAAAAAAACAACACAAAAACAGAAACCTTCATGTGATATTTTTACTGAGGGCATTTTATGACTGAGCTTTTACTAGCACTTTAGCTCCCTCTGGTGGAAGCCTGTGGTCCTACAAGACCATGAAAGACCATGGAATGAGGTTGGCCAGGCATTGTTTACTTGTTATTTACTTGGGAGGATGTGGAGGTCAGGGTCAGTAACTTATATTTACAGTAGGCTACAAGACAAATGTGGAACCAGCCTGCAGAGGAACAAGGATTCCACAGTGGTGACTCTTTTATGTCTGTGAGCTTCACTCTTGACCCAGAGCCAACATGTTTTCTCTGTTGTTACATGACCACAGCAGTCTAATAAGACTAGCTAAGGATGGACTGGCACATATGCCCAGGCACATATGCACAGGCTATGGACTAGAGTAAGGTGGTATGTCTTATACGGGGAATGGACCCATCTGAGCTCCAAATGCAGAGATGTCAACTGTAGCTGCTCTGCATCCTGCTGATCCAATTAATTCCTTTTCTGCATTCCTTTCCTTCCTATAGTCATTTAAGTTGGGAGCACAAAGAATTAAGCAGAATATAATGGAATGTCATATGCTAAACTGCAGAAAGACTGACCCACTCTCATGCTTTCTCTAAAATATAAACAGCATGAGTGCAACAACTTAGCGAAGTTGCAGGCAGGTAGGGATGAAGTACAAGACAAGCCTCTGTGCCCATCTCATGGACAACGAGGGCCACACATATGCAGGGCAACCTTGGCTCACCATGGAGTCTGGTTCAGCTGGCTGCTTAGACTGTTTGTAGTCCAGTAGGATGGAAAGCACTGCCCTCCAGCCTGGCTCTGATGGAATGCTAGCATCCACTTCTGTTTCACCTTGCTCTCTGATTTCTTTACTGAATGTGATATTCACCCAAGGGCACCAGTCTCGATGTTGAGAGGTAGGATCGAAGAAACTTCGGGAAGATGTGTCCTGAGGACAGAGGAAGAGACATAGACAGGGTTAATGAAGGACAGATGCTAGGTCTATTCAGAAAATCAACTGTTTCAAAATCTTCCAACTGCTTGTATTTCTAGGGTTTTTTTTGTTTGTTTTGTCAGTCATGGGGCTTGAACTCTAGACCTGAGCATTGTCCCTGAGCTCTTCAGCTCAAGACTAATGCTCTACTACTTTAAGCCACTGCACTACTTCTAGTTTTCTGGTGGTTAACTGGAGATAACAGTCTCATGGACTTTCCTTCCCCGGCTGGCTTTGAACCATGATCCTCAGAGCTCAGCCTCTGAGGAGCTAGGATTATAGACATATATTTCTAGTTTTATGTTCTTCTTTGTGCCAGTACTGGGGCCTGAATTCAGGGCCTGAGTGCTGTCCTTCAGATTTTTCACTTAAGGCTGATGCTCTACCACTTGAGCTACAGTTCTGATTTTTGGTGGTTAATTGGAGATAAGCGTCTCTTGGAAGCCGGGCATTGGTGGCTCATGCCTATAATCCTAGCTATTTAGGAGGCTGAGATCTGAGGAACACGGTTCAAAGCCAGCCCAGACAGGAAAGTCCGTGAGACTCTTATCTCCAATAAACCACTAGGAGAACCTAGAAAACGGAAGTGGCGCTGTGGCTCAAGTGGTAGAGCACTCGCCTTGAGCTGAAGAGCTGAGAGATAGCGCCCAAGCCCAGAGTTCAAGCCCTATGACCAAAAAAAAAAAAAAAGTCTCTTGGACTTCAAACCATAATCCTTATAAAGCTAGACTCATGAATAGCTAGGATTACAGGAGTGGGCCACCAATGGCTGTCTTATGTTCTCCTTATTTATTTATTTAATTTTGCTTGTCATTATAAAGGTGACATACAGAGGGGTTACAGTTACATAAGTCAGGTAATGAATAAATTTCTTTTTTGAGAATGTCATACTTCTTTTACTCTCTCTTGTTTTTCCCTCCTATACTCACCCACAAGTTGTATAGCTCATAACACAGTGTCTAGTGAGTATTTCTGCTGCATTTGTTCACCCTTTGTCCCTCTTTTTCTGTGTCCCTCTTATCCTCACAAATTTTATTTTTATTTATTTTTTTTTTAATTTTTTTTTTTGGGTCCGGTTGTGGGGCCTGAACTCTGGGCCTGGGTGCTGTCCCTCAACTCTTCAGCTCAAGGCTAGCGCTCTACCACTTGAGCCACAGTGCCACTTCCGGCTTTTTTCTTTTTGCTTATGTGGTGCTGGGGAATCGAACCCAGGGCCTCATGCATTGCAAGGCAAGCGCTCTACCACTGAGCCACCTTCCCAGCCCTCACAAATTTTATTTTTATGCCAGTCCCAGGACTTCAACTCAGACCATGGACACTGTCCCTGAGCTTCTGCTTAAGTCTACCACTTAAGCTAGAGCTCCACTTCTGGCCTTTTTTGGGTAGTTTATTGCAGATGAGAGAGTCTCATAAGCCTGGCACTGGTGGCTCATGCCTGTAATTCTAGCTACTCAGGAGGCTGAGATCTAAGGATTGTGGTTCAAAGCCAGCCTGAGCAGGAAAGTCCATGAGACTCTTATCTCCAATTAACTACCACAAAGCTGGAGTGGAGATGTGGCTCAAAGTGGTAGAGCATTAACCTTGAGAAAAAAGCTCAGGGACAGTGCCCAGGGCCTGAGCTCAAGCTCTACTACCAAAAAAAAAAAGCTCAGACTTTTCTGCCTGGGCTGAATTTGAACTGGGATCCTCTGAATTCAACCTCCTGAGTAGGTAGGATTAGCTATGAGCCACTAGTGCCTAGCTTTATTTTTATTTGAGACAGAGTCTTGCTATATAGCTGAGACTGCTCTCAATCTCATGACTGCCCTTTCACATTCCTGAGAATATTCTCATTTAACCTGTCTTTTTATTTTCTTCCCATTTCCTCCCTTTCTTTCTTCCTCCCTCCCATTTTTCTTCCTTTTCTGCTTTCCTTTCTTTTGCAATATCAGTGTTAGAACTCAGTACTTGCTTGGCTTGCTTAAGTGGTGTTCTACAACTTGAACTAAGGCTCCAGGCTCAGATTTTTGCTGGTTATTTTAGAGATAAGAGTTTCACAGACTTTGCCGCCTAGGCTAGCTTCAAACTGTGGTCCTTCAGATTTTAGCCTCCTCAGTAGTTAGGATAACAGGCAAGAGCCACTGGCTTCTTTCATCGCCCCCCCCCTCCCACCCATGCCTCTTTTTTTTTTTCTGTTTTTCTCCTTTTGTCTCTGTTTTTGATTTTGGAACCCTTTGTCTTGTACATGTTTATCTGATTTGGGAAGGGGAAATGGAAGCATGGAAACTGTGGGACAAAGGGTGAACTAATTCAGCAGTGATACTCACTAGACACTACGTTAGAAATGAACTATATAACTTGGGGGGGGGGACAAGAGTTGGGAGAGAAAAAAACTGGGAGAAAATGAGGGAGTGACACTATTCAAAAAGAAATGTATTCATTACCTGACTATGTAACTGTAATCCCTCTGTAACCACCTTTACCAAAAAAAAAATACAAAAATACAAAAAACCCCCACAAAAAAACAAAAAACTGGACTTTAGTAAGTTTGTCTCCTCCCTTACCACTGTCCTATTAGTTTGAAATATTTACTCTTTCTCCAGACTCTAACCCAGAGGAATAGATGATAAAAATCTTTAATTGCTGGGCTGGGAATATGACTTAGTGGTAGAGTGCTTGCCTCACATGCATGAAGCCCTGGGTTCAATTCCTCAGAAAAAGCCGTAAGTGGCCGTGTGGCTCAAGTGGTAGAGGAAAAGAAACTCAGGGACAGTGCCCAGACCCTGAGTTTAAGCCCTAGGTCTGGCAAAAAAAAAAAATTGCTTTCCCCTTGGCCAGCCATCTGTCCTATCTTTAAGTACACAGTATACTTTTGGCCATAGAAGCAGGTAGGGCTTATACCTTTTTCTTCGTGCTCACATGAAGGCCTGGCCTGCTGTTATGCCCAGTGAAGGCTACTGCGTGAGTGGACTCACCGAGCTGCTGGAAGAGCAAAGGCGAGCCCGTTTGGCTTTCCGGAGAGGGCTGGAGGGTACATCAAGGCCAGTGCTGTCTCCTGTTCCCATGCTTCGAGTCACTGGGCGGCTTCTGGTGGTAGGGCTGGCTGCCTCTGGCTCAGGCCGCTCAACCGGACTAGAAGAGTCCCAACTTCGGGTTCTAGAGACAATGAGACCTGGGCTCTTTTCAGTCTGAAAGAAAAAGGGGAGTACATAAGTGATGTTGATGGTTAAGATTGGAATTTCTTTCAAAAGCAGGTAAAAGCTAGTATTTTATAGTTTAAATGATAAAAACTCAGCTTTTTTTTTTGGCCAGGCCCTTGAATTCAGGGCCTGGACACTGTCCCTGAGGTTCTTTTGCTCAGGGATAGCACTCTACCACTTGAGCCACAGCACCCTTCCAGCTTTTTCTGTGTATGTGGTACTGAGGAATCCAACCCAGGACTATGCATGCTAGCAAACCCTCTACCACTAAGCCATATTCCCAGCCAAAACTTAGCTTCTGAATTGCCTCCTTACCCACCATCTTCACAGACTTTTCTTTTTCTTTTTTATTTTTTTGTCAGTCATGGACTTGAACCCTGGGCCTGGGCACTGTCCCTGACCTCTTCAGCTCAAGGCTAGTGCTCTACCACTTGAGCCACAGTGCCACTTCCAGTTTTCTTGTAGTTAATCGGAAATGAGTCTCATGGACTTTCCTGCCTGGACTGGCTTTAAACTGATTCTCAGATCTCAGCTTCCTGAGTAGCTAGGATTATAGACATGAGCCACCAGCACTAAGCTAGACTATTCTATTTTGATGCTAAATTTCTAAAACACATTTAATTTTTCCACTAGTGAAGAGAAACATGATGAAAAAGCCTGCTGTTGGATGTGGTGGCACACACTTGTACTCCCAGCTAGCCAGACAGGCAAAAGAAATAAAACCCTATCTCAAAAACAAAATAAAGGGCTGGGATGGTGGCTCAGTGGTAGAGTGCTTGCCTTGCATGCATGAGGTCCTGGGTTCGATTCCTCAGTACCACATAAGCAGAAAAAGCTGGAAGTGGCGCTGTGGCTCAAGTGGAAGAGCACTAGCCTTGAGCTGAAGAGCTGAGGGACAGCACCCGGGCCCAGAGTTCAAGCCCCACAACTGGCAAGAAAAAAAAAAAAAGCAAAAGGACTAGGGGCATAGCTCAAGTAGGGTAGCATGGGTAAGGCCCTAAGCTCAATTCCCAGTACCACAAAATTAACAAAACAAAACATGGGTATGATGACTCACATCAGTAATTCAACTATCAGGAACTGGAGATTAGGAGACGGTGTTTAAAGGCTGGCTTGGGCAAAAAGTTAGAAAGACACCATCTCAATTAATAAGCTGGGCATGGTTTATATCTGAGGTTCTAGCTACACTGGCTGAAGGTTAGGAGGATCATGGTGTGAAGCTGGACCTAGGGAAATACTTGAGACCCTACCTGAAAAATAACTAGAGCCAAGAAAGGAGGCAGGTATGGCTCACATAGTAGAATGCCTACCTAGCTAGCAAGTGTAAGACCTTAAGTTTGGGGAAAAAAAGAAAAAAAAAAAAGAGGGGAAGGCTATTTGTCAATTTCCAGTTTTCTACCACCAACACTTTTAGCAAGAATGCTGTTAAGCTATGTTAATACCTGATCTGAACCTGGGAAAAACGTGGCATCCTGGCTCCGGGTCATCATCCTCCTAGGAGATTCAGGCACTAGAGGGAAGCGATCTGGCCGACCCTCGGTGCCTGAAACGGGGGAGCTGGAGAAGCCAAAGGACGCATCCAGGTCAGTCACAGACGACTCGATCTGCTGGAAGCCCCAGAGTCCCACCTTCCGCATACACTGTGAGCATGTCATCAGAGAGAGCTGCATGGGTTCCAAAGAAGAACTAGGAAGAAGCGGCAGAGAAAGTGTGTGTTTCCTAAGGGGCCAGTTCCATGTGCAATGACTTATATGTTTTACCTCACCAAACCAATCTCAACTGGTCTAGTGGGCTGGACCCATGTCCCCCTAGAGCCCTGTCCCCTCACTGCAGAACCTCAGCTCTGTCACTACCCACATATTTTCTACAGATTTTGGTGTGCTCTCTCCCAAGGCTATTTATTTTTTTGGAGGGGTTATGGTTTTTTAATCGTCAAAGGGTTGTATGAGAGGGTTACAATTTGACATTTCTCCTTCTGTCCAATGAATTTTGATCAGTCACCCCTTCCATCATTCTTTGCCATCTCTCCTACCCCTTTCCCTGGAGGCCTATCAACCACTTACTTTTTCTCTTATGTACACTGAGTATTAATTAAGACTGTATTTGTCCTTTTCTATTCATCCACCACCTACCCATTACTCCCCCATTAGCTGAAACTATGTTTCAGTTTCCTGATATTCATTTTGTTGAACTACCTGTAACTATTAGAGCTCCATGGAGTTTCACAGCTCCATGTACTATACTTCAGTCAATGTCATAGTGATCTTGTATATATGCCCCTGTATGCATTTACCCTGTGTGTATGATGGGAGGTTATATATTGATTCTAAGATCCCCAAGGCTATTTTGAAGTTTCTTTCATAAAGCTGTTCTGTCCTCTTAAATCCCTTTGTTAATCTACTGCAGAAAGCATGTCTGGGGTTAACCAAGGTCAGTTCTGACAGCCTTCACCTCAGAGAGAGGCCAGCCAAACTGGCAGCTGGGATGGAAACACCAACCAGGGGCATGTCAGGGACTCCAGGCTGGTGACTCCTTTGCTACTTCTCATCAATTGAACTTATTTTCCTTCCTTTCATTTTCTTTCTATTCTTAGAGAAGAGCTTCACTGTTTATGGGAACGTAAGTTCCCAGGTGGGAATTGGGAATACAAGACAGGAATTTTAGGTGTAAACACCATGCCTTCCTAATTTGGATTCTCCCCTCCTCCCACCACTAATGTTTGCTTTGTTTCTTTTCTCACAGAAAACACCATCTGATTTCCAAATATGACCAGTGACTAGAATATATAGGTATGTATTATTGTCATGGTTTATACTCCCAGACAGAAGTAGCTGACTAACCTCCATGCCCAGCCACACAGAGAGAGAACACAGGCAGTGACTTGGACTTGGATGTCTGAACCTAATTTGCTTGCTGTTTTCCTCTCCTCAGTTACAGGGTCAAGTTCATCTTCAAGCAAATGTAGCAGATGACTGATCTTGTCTTCTGTCAAGCACTGAAGAGAATGAAGGTTAAAAAATAGTTGTTCTTGTTTTTTTGGCCAGTTCTAGTACTTGACCTCACAGCCTGGGCATTGTCCCTGAGCTTCTTTTTGCTCAAGGCTAGCATCTAACACTTAAACCACAGCACTTCTGGCTTTTTCTGTTTAGATGATACTGAGGAATTGAACTCAGGGCTTCATCATGCATTCTGGGCAAGCACTCTACCACTAAGCCACATTCCATGCCCTGAAAATAGTTCTATTTATGTCTTAGTCTGACACTGAATTTACTTTCTGACAAAACAGAGTTTGCTAGCCTTAATTTTTGTGCTAAGCATAATAAAGAACTATGGGAGATGGGAGTTGCCTTGACCTGGGACAGTGTGATAGGTTAATAGTTGACTGCTAAAATCTCCAGCATAATGTTAATGAAGGAAAGTCTGGGAATGTGGCTTATTGGTAAAAGCTTGCCTAGCATAAATGAAGCCCTGGGTTTGATTCCTCAGTACCACATAAACAGAAAAGGCCAGAAGTGGTGCTATGGCTCAAGTGGTAGAGTGCTAGCCTTGAGCAAAAGAAGCTCAGGGACAGCGCCCAGGCCCAGAACTGGCAAAAAAACAAAAACAAAAAACAAGCAAGCAAAATAATCAGTTTTTACTTCCAAAAATACACATATCTTCACAGAGGACTTACAGGCTAATAATATGGGTCAGTAACATTCAACTTCAAAGAACAGATAAGCCAGAACATTTCAATGCATCTATTCCCAGGAAAAGGGAGTTTTCTGGTCCCCTAGTAATTGGGAAAATGGTATGTAATAAACCATTTGCAAGCTGTATGCTGGTGGCTCTCTCCTATAATCCTAGCTACTCAGGAAGCTGAGATCTAAGGATCGAAGTTTGAAGCCAGGCCAGGCAAAAAACAAAAACAAAACAAAAAACCTGTGAGACACTTTTTTTTTTTTTTTTGCCAGTCCTGGGGTTTGAACTCAGGGCCTGGGCACTGTCCCTGAGCTTCTTTTGTTCAAGGCTAGCCACTCTACCACTTGAGCCACAGCGCCACTTCTGGTCTTATGTGGTACTGAGGAATCCAACTCAGGGCTTCATGTATGCTAAGTACATACTCTACCACTCAGCCACATTCCCAGCCCCAAAATCTGAGACTCTTACCTCCAAGTAACCAGCAAAAGTCAGAAGTAGATCTGTGGCTCAAGTGGTAGAACATTAGCCTTGAGCAAAAAAGCCAAGTGAGAATATGAGGCTTTGAGTTCTAGCTCCAGTACAGGCATAAATAAATACATAAACAGAACATTTGCAGTCACATTTCAACATTTTCTATCAAAGAGTCAAAGCAAGATAAAATTGAATTTATGCCATTGAAAGAACCATTCTAAATGTTGAAATGGAACTTATTTACTCAAACTCTCCACTGGTCATTCTTTTCCTAACACTCTGCTTCCTCTTAGCATTAAAAGAAATGCTTTGCTACAAACTGGTGACACCTGGAGGCCAAGAAAAACTCACCATGTTCTTCAAGTCCTCTGACCTCAAGGAAGGAAGCTGAAGGTCTAAGTGACAAAGGCTTTGAAAACGATCTAGGAATTCATTAATAAGGACAGAAGGCTCATCCAATGGCAATGTCCCAAATCGATCTATGGACAAAATAAGAAAATTACACTGGTGTTAACAAGTAAACATAAATAGAACAATTAGAGAAATGTGAAATGGAGGAAATATTAGACAATATTAAGAAATTATTGTGCTCTGTTCACAAAAAACAAACAACATGAGCCAGGCAATGGTGTCTCATGCCTGTAATCCTAGCTACTCAGGAGGCTGAGATGTAAAGATCACAGTTTGAAGCCAGCCCAGGCAGGAAATCCTACAGTCTACTTAGAAAAGGCTGGGAAGTAGTTCTGTGGCTCAAGTGAGAAAGCACTAGCCTTAAGCCAAAAAGCTCAGTTCAAGCTGAGTTAAAGCCCCAGGACCAGCACAAAAACAAACAACAAAGGTGCCCAACAACACATGAATGAATAAAGAAAATGGAGATTACATAAACATATTTATATGATATATAAAAGCCATAAATAGAAATGGCATTGTGTCATGTGTAGGAAAATGGATGAATTGGAATGTAATATATTACATCATATTGAACAAGACATTAAATTAAGCTAACAAAAAAACCCAACAAAACAGATAATATATGTTTTTGTTCATTTGTGGAAGCTAGACCTAAAAGACATACATACTCATAGACATGAACAAACATACATATAGTCCCCTATACATAACTACTTATATAAACACAGAATATGGCTAAGAAGGGGGCTTAGTGGTAGAGTGCTTGCCTAGCAAGCATGAAGTCCTGGGTTCAATTCCTCAGTACCACATAAATAGAAAAATCCAGAAGTGGCACTGAGACGCAGAGTGCCAGCCTTGAGCAAAAGAAGCTCAAGGACAGCGCCCATGCCCTGAGTTCAAGCCACAGGACTGGCAAAAAAGTAGAATAAAATAAACACAGAACTGAATCTCAGGGACTACGTAGGAGGAAAAGGGAAGGGAGAAGGAAAAAAGAAAAAGAGTAATTTTATAATACATTCCAAGTGCATATGCAAAGCTTAGTGAAAGTTGTTATCAATAGGGATGTGGGGGCCAGGAGAGAGAAAAAGGTTCTGTGTGTATGAGGGGTTGGTACTAGCAGAAGGGGGATGGGCTAACAAGGAGGAGGAAAGATGATGAATATGGCGAAAATAGATTATTTGTAACTTTGAAAATTGAACAATGAAACCTGCTGAAATTGTTTTGGGAAGGAGAAGGGAGAGTGATATATAAATAATATAATGTTCTATGTAATATAATTTTATATAATCTACCTTAAAAGATCTACAGATTAATAGAGGATCTTGGAACTAATCCCTCATGGCTAACAAGGGATGACTATAACAACTTACATAAAAATACTTGCTATCAATTTAATCATTTTACTAAATATGTTCCTTTTACTTAGCATATGTGAAATCCTGGGTTCAATCTCCAGCACTACAAAAAAGAAAATGAAAAGGCAGGAGCCAATGGTTCATGCCTCTGTTTCTTTTTTTGTTTTGTGCCAGTCTTGGGGTCTAAACTAAGTGCCTGGGCACTGTCCCAGTAAACTGCCTGGCTTCATGCCTGTATATTTACTCAGGAGGCTGAGATCTAAAGGACTGAGGTTTGAAGCCAGACCAGGTAGAAAGTCCTCACGACTGCATCTCCACAAAATCAGCAAAAGGCTTGGCTAGAGGTGTAGCTCAAATAGTAGAATGCCAATCAAACAAGCAAGCTGAGCAAGCACAAGTCCTTGAGTTCAAAACTCAGTACTAGGGCTGGGAATGTGGCTTAGTGGTAGAGTGCTTACCTAGCAAGCATGAAGCCCTGGATTCCATTCCTCAGCACTACATAAACAGAAAAGCTGGAAGTGGTGCTGTGGCTCAAGTGGTAGAGTGCTAGCCTTGAGTAAAAGAAGCTCAGGGAAAAAAAAAAAGAAGCTCAGGGACAGTGCCCAGGTCCTGAGTTCAAGCTCCAGAACTGGCAAAAGCAAAAAAAAACACCTCTCCCCGACACACACCAAAAAAATCTCAGTACTACATTGTCCAAAAAGAAATGTACTCATTACCTGACTTATAAAATGGCAACTCCTGTGTACAACACCTTAATAATAACAATAAAAATGTAAATGTAAAATAAAAACCTCAGTACTAGCAAAACAATAAAAGGGGAAGACATTAAAGACACAAAAATTTAAAAAATCAAGAAAAAGCTGGGCATGAACAAGATTGGGAGGCAGAGGCAGGATTACAGGTTGGAGGCCAGCTCAGGCTGCAAGTTGAGATCTTATCTCAAAAAAGCAAAACCAAGCAGGTGCCAATGGCTCACGCCTGTAATCCTAGCTACTGAAGAGGCTGAGATCTGAGGATCATGGTTCAGAGCCAGCCTGGGCAGGAAAGTCCATGACAGGAAGTGGAGCTGTGGCTCAAGTGGTAGAGCACAAAAGCTCAGAGACAGCACCTCAGGCCCTGAGTTTAAGGCCTAAAACTATCATACACACACACACACACAAAATAAAAAAGTCAGGTACTGGTGGCTCATGCCTGTAATCCTAGCTACTTAGGATCTGAGGATTGTGGTTTGAAGCCAGCCCAGGCAGAAAAGTCTGAGAGACCCTTATCTCCAATAAACTACTTAGAAAAAGCTGGAAGTGGCGCTGAGGCTCAAGTCGTAGAGCACTAGCCTTGAGTACAAGAAACTTAGGGACAGTGCCTAGGCCCTGAGTTTAAATCCCAGGGTCTGTGGGGGGTGGGAGGGGTTGGAGATTTTTGTCTCCAATTAACCAGCAAAAAATGATGGACTAGAGGCATGGCTCAAGTGGTAGAGCACTAACTGAATGAGCAAACGAGATCTTAAGTTCAACCCTTGATAGAGATAAAACAAAAGGTATGAATCAACCTCAAAAGTGAGGTCTGGAAAGAAATTAGATATCCTCAAGGAATCGAAAGCTGGGAATGGGGTCAAGAAAAAAAGCACATAGCAACAAGAGCTGAGGACCTGGGCTGGGAAGGTGTCTCAGTGGTAGAGCGCTTGCCTTGCATGCATGAGGCCCTGGGTTCGATTCCTCAGCACCACATAAGCAAAAAGAAAAAAGCTGGAAGTGGTGCTGTCGGCTCAAGTGGTAGAGCACTAGCCTTGAGCTGAAGAGCTGAGGGACAGTGCCCAGGCCCAGAGTTCAGGCCCCACGACCGGACCCAAAAAAAAAACAAATAAACAAGAAACAAGAGCTGAGGACCAGTGACAGAGCCTAGAGTACACTTGCACTAAGTACTGAACAGGGATAGATTCAAATGCTCACAAGACTGAGCTGTGAGAAACATAGGCTAACAGTAGGAAATCCTTGTTATACGATCACTTTCACTTAAACAATTTCATCAGAGGTCATCTTCAGCCATATTTTTTCTCCTCTTAGTGGTCACTCATAGGGCATTCCTCACTATTACTGACCCTGGAATTAACTTGAGCTCTCCAACTTGAAATAAAAACCATATCTAACCTGTACCAATCCTTGATTAAGGTATATAAAAAGGTATGGATGAACATTGTTGCTTTGTAACATGGAGGAAGAATTTTGTACTTGGTGAGATTTCCCCACCAGAGGGCTCTGCTGTTGAAGGTATCAGCAGAAATATGTCTGCATGACCAACAAAATATTTTAATATCACAGGGGATACTAGGTTGAGGGCTCTTTTATTCAGAAGTCCTCAGCATACACACCAGTGTTTAATATTTTAATGGAAATTGTGTCCTGACACCCCGTGGTAGTGGGAAGAAACCTGAAGCATGGACTTGGCCCTTCCTGATACCTGGCTGAGGCAGCCTTGGGCTGGGGTGGATGTCTTACCTCAGTGCTGGGAGTCTTCCATAGCCATCATTAGTGCAACTAGTGAACCTTCCCTTTACAGGAACCAAGGTAAAATAGGAAGTGATCAATGGGTAGAAGCAGAATTTGGAACCAGAGAAAACTATAGACGTGGCAATCCTTTAGTTCTTAGTTTCCTCACCCCAAACAACTAACTTATGACAGCTGCCTCCAGGGCTCTTGTGAGGATTCAACAGGACAAGCTCCACACTGTGAAGCCTACTGTGTAACACAAGCACTTGATAAAGTTAAAACATAAAATGAAAATGTAAATGAATACAAATTCTTAAAAAGTACAAATTGAGGAAAAACAAACTTCAAAGACTAGGTTTTTTATAAAGTAATGAACAATATTAGAGGAGAGATCTAGGAGAGTTGCTAAGTGGAAATTGTCAAGTACCTGGAGAGGGGCTGTCTGGCCAGAAACAGAACTTTTCATGAGCAGTGTACAATGATTTTCTCAGTTCAGCACAGCGTTCCTTATCTGAAATTCACACAGGTAACATGACTTAAAAAACACTACACAGATTCAAAAGCCAAAGCCAAAGAGCTAAAAGACTACAAATGCAACTACAGATAAAATGAGAGAATTAAAAAATATAAAAAGCAGTAGCAATATGATCTCAAAATTGTTCACAAAGTAAGTTAAACTGAGATCCTAAGATCAACACAAACTTATTACATAAATTATTGGGACATTTCAAAGTGTGAGCCTCCTAAAAATCCTGTTTCTTTGTCCAAAATTATAAATTAAAAATAAACATTCCACAGATTGACCCATTGCAACAATGAGAAGTACAAGATGCTATGTCAAAAATCGAACTTTAGGTCTGGAAAGGTGGCTCAGTGGTAGAGCACTTGCCTTGCATGCATGAGGCCCTGGGTTCGATTCCTCAGCACCACATAAGCAAAAAGAAAAAAGCTGGAAGTGGTGCTGTGACTCAAGTAGTAGAGCGCTAGCCTTGAGCTGAAGAGCTGAGGGA